CCGGCCCATCTTCCCAGTCGACATTTCTGCGAGTGAATTAGTGAACATCTTTTTTACTCCAATCGATCGTATCAGTTGCTAAAGGGCACGGCTGTTTCCCGTAGCAAAAGCCTTATCCATCTCCCGAGCTTTCGATGTCCACGAAAGCTCTCGGTCCTTCCTTAGACTCCTCAGTATTTGGCATTTGAGGGATTTGCGTGCGCCGCCGTACTCGTTCCCTGTTGGTAAGGATTTCCTGGCATTAATCATGGATAGCAATCTCATCGACATCCGTGGTCTTGTGGTCGAATCGGAGGTCAGACAGACAGCACTGAACGCCGCTAACAGGTCCTCTCACGTTTTGCTGCGCTTCATCCACGTACTCACTGCCACAGTATTGGTTTACTATGGAGAGTTGCTGGGCTAGCTCAGATGGGTACTGTTGATCTATGGTCGTTCTTCGGAAATAGTGGATTGGCATGCTTCTTGCTGACTTTCGAGGGCCTGAAGGAAACGAACTGTTAGGCGTGCACGTACAATGGCGTGATCGAAATCAAGTTGTATGCCATAGAAGGAATGGCAGTCTTGAATTGTAGCTCTCCACCGTTGGCTGATGGCCACGTGGTCCAACTGGGTCCATGGCTGGTTTGCAGTAGGTGACCGGCAGGCTACGCGATGCCAGCGTTTATGTTGAAAGTTCGCGCTTGCCAGCAACGGTTCGTGGTCAGCACACAACTTAAGTAGTCGCTCTCCGTTGTCTGTGCGGCGAGCATCGACTCCGAATCGACCGCCCAAATGTGATTCCAAGGAGCTAAGACGGCCTACTTGAGCGAGATCGCTCAAGTGGTTGGAGCGCGAATTTACTGACCGGAAGGTTCGTGGTTCGAATCCGACCTCAGCCTCTCGAATTCCCCTGTCTAGGCTTGGACAACCTGGCAGTATCCCAGCCCTCGTGCTTCCTTCGAGTGGCATGACAGCTTTGTGCCGAAAGGGTGTTACAGCTGAACGACTTGAGCATTCAAATCGCCTGCCTGACGAATGAACCCGGATAGCTCTCGATAGAAAGTATTCTTCTTAGCATCGGAACTGCAGTCCGCTGGGGCATAAGTCGACAAACAAGCACCGCTTTTAATGCTCAGAGAAATCGAACTTGATTGAACTGGATGACCGGACGGCGCAAAGACGACTGTTCACTGGGATCCAATACAGCAAAGCGCATTCAGCTCTGGGGCTGAGTGCAACTCCCACGCCACATATTCCATTAGTCATCGCTTCTGGATCACCGGACTCACGGAGAAAAAGTGTGAGAGAGCTGATTTCATCTCTGGCGTTCTGAGATATACAACCACGCTTGGGTCTTGTGTGTGTTTTGGAGACACAGCATACATCAACTTTAAAGGAGTATGGGTTGACACCGAACTGCGCGGGTGAATGATACTTCCCGGTTGCCCAGGCCGACGAAGGGGGTTTAGTTGAGCCCTTGACTCAAAAGTCTGTCCCACAAGGGAGTGGGAGGATGTAGGGTTTTGTTCGGTGACCCTGCCCCGAGCCCCTGACTGAAAAGTGTGACCCACGAGGCAGCGGACAGTACGGTTTTCTCTGGGGACCCTGCCCGGAGCCGATGACTCAACAGTCTGACCTACTCGGCTTCAGGGGGTTGGTCTAACCCGAGGGTGCAGGGAATAAGGTATTACTGTCTCATTCCTGATGCGGCTGCGCACAGCAGGCGCCTTTTGAGCAGCACAGGACCCTTCAAAAGTCTTGAGAGTATTTTGACCGTATTGGATAATGCGCCGGCTGTCACGGTCAACCGTTGGGCGTTCGGCGTGTGCGGTTTTTAGGGCCGACCTTTTCTAGCCCGTCCTTCCTTGGGGGAAGGCAGCATTGTCGCTTCCATAGGTACGGACATGCTGGCCGCCTGGGGGCAGCACCTTACCGCCTTCACATTCCTGTCGCAGAGGACAGTATGACTTTACCCCCAGACCGCCTCGTAGCATGACTACTCATAGTACGGGGTTTCGCTGCTCTCGGTCTTACTGCTCCCCTTTGATCTTCCTGGCATAGTTGCACCTTGTGGAATAACGTTCCAGCCAAAGGGCGAGACAGCCCAAGTGGTTAGAGTCCGAATTTACCGACCGGAAGGTCCATGGTTCGAACCCGACATTTGGAACTCGACTTCCCCTGTCTAGGCTTGGGCAACCTGGCAGTATCCCAGCCTTCGTGCTTCCTCCGGGTGGCATGGCACCTAGGCACCGGAAGGGTGCTACAGCTGAGCGATTTTTTCATATTTTAGTGTAACCCGCGGGATCATTGCAGTACTCAAGCCCGAGCACCACATCAAGGTGGCAGCTTTAGGTCGGGAAATCATGGGACATTCAACAAGCCCTGAATGTCCTATGACTTCTCGGAGGCCGGTCCATCAAATGCAGCCGCCCGATTAGTGTACGACAAGGACACCACAAGCAAACTAGTCTCCGTTTTGACTGAAAACCTTGACAATCCAGGAGTTTTAAAGCAATTTTTTGGGTTGGATCGAAGCTAAAAGAATCCAAACCCAAGTTGTTTGGTGTAGGGCACTCTCGAAAGCTTATATTCAACAGGGGAGGAAGCTGAAAGGGAAAACCATAATAATGGGCCCGAAATTGAGCATAGAGGATATTCAATGAGTGAGAGTCACGGAGCAAGAGCATCTACGACTGAGAAAAAGCTCGGTTGTTGTGTATTTTCGGATGGTTAACAGAATACATTTTCCGAGAGCCACTGATTCTGTTACGGATCGATCACGCTGCGAGCAAAACAATATGATATGCGGATCGTGGCAATACTCTATCCCCAGCTATGTTGCTTGATCCAGACTCCTAGCACGGCGGATAGTAAGAAGATGAAAAACCTCGGACACAAACTTTAATGATCCAACAACACGCGACCAACAGGCGATCATGGGAAAAAATGACAATGGCTGTTACGGTTCGGTCACGCAGCGAGCAAACAATATGATATGCGGATTGTGGCAATACTCTATCCCCAGCTATGTTGCTTGATCCAGACTCCTAGCACGGCGGATAGTAAGAAGACGAAAAACCTCGGACACAAACTTTAATGATCCAAAAACACGCGATCAAAAGGCGATGCCCCGAGCTTCCGAACCCAAGTTAGTAAAAAGATGGTATCGTTTAAGTAAGTGGTCGAATTTAAATTTCTTGGAATATCAATGGGCCATTGATTTATTCATAGTTTGACCTTGAAGATGCCGGAAGTTCGCTAGCACACATAAAAATACAGAGTTTTTTTTTTGGGGGGGGTATTGATATCCCCAACAGATTCTGTGACCGATCCCATAGCAACAACAACTAGTAATGGCCGAGATGTCCGTGAAATGACGCGGCTCACAATCAACACCAGGTGCCCTCTGGATACGTGAAACCAAGTGTGAGTGCATGACAGCCAGCTGCATTTGGTCACCACGGGAAACTGATTGACCGGAAAAATACCAGACGCGTAACCTGCAACAGAGGGTACCCAGCTCACAGGTGTGACCGCGCTAACAGTGTCTACGGGGGTGTTGCGATCTGCGCCAACAAAACAGGCCGGCCACAAATAAGCGCTAACAGGGTGCAGCAAGCTGAGAGCTATAGGTGTGCCACAACTATAACTGCTGGATCAGTGTATACCATCGTGGCAATACAGTGGTGCAGGTAATATACTCAAGCGCATCGACCGTAATTGGGTGCCCACCAGATAGGATTTCTTGCTTCCCATGCATTAGTCGATGAACACACAGCTGGCAACATTCGTTCCCGCAAGCGATGGTTCTTGGAGTGGGTAATACAACAGTGGCTTCTGCGGCATGTTTGCGAGCCAACTGGGAGCTAACCCGAGCAACGTCCTATGAAACTGAACCCGGTGCTCGCGAATGTTATAACAATTGGCGACAGTAACAGTGCAGAAACGGGTAGTAGGGAGTGATTATAGTATACCGTTTTGGGCTGCATGGTAAAATAAGCACCTGACGGATCGTTTCTGGCGTTCAAAATGCTTATTTTCATATTGTTAAGGTCTGTGCAAGCCGTGTGGATTTGAATTCCGAGCGACTTCAGACAAGATATAGGAGACAAATTCGTGGAAATCTTATGATGTCAAACGATGTGTAGGTACCGAAAGGGGCTAAGAATTTTGTACCTCCTCGATTACCCTTGAACACCAAACATTCTTTTGGAGATCACGACTATTGCAAAAGCACAATGGCGCTTCAAAAAAAAGGAACACCTGCAAGCGAATGATGACTGTCGAGAGGAAATGTGAGGACAAACCTGCGCAAGCGACGTAAGGTGCACCGAAAAGAATTAATTTATACATGAGTCGTGGAAGAAGTAAGGATCAAATTCTGAGGCTGGTGAACACAGGTCATATCATCACCAGTAGTCAGGATCACAGGTGCTACAAATTCTGCGTAGACTAACTCCGGGTTGGATATGACTGACACAGAAATAGAAGCCCCAGAGGAGGGGTGTTTACACTAGACAAACGACGATCTCATGGGAGTAAGATAATTTGTGCGGACCCCTTGTGGCCCCAGGACCCTATCGTCGCAATGAAAACCACTGACATTGGTTTGGCAGCTGTGTCATCGAAGGTGCTGCTGATATGCTCCGAAATCTAATTAAACAGAGGGACAGATCCGTGAGAAGCAAGATGTGTCCCATCCTGCATCGATTCCATATTCCCCTCCGGCAGATTCTGGAACAGCGGTACTATTTCCAATAGCCAGAAGTGACTTATAAGCTGCCCTTTATTCTTTGGACCGTCAGACACTGTGCTAGTATCTATGAAGCAGAGTTGTCCCTCATAAATTCTTGGCTCTCTTTAAGCGCTTTGCGGCAACTCCTGTGGATATTTGAAATTTTACGGAAACATCTCACCTGAGTTCATTACAACAAGTAGTTTTCCATCACGAAGAGACTGGACCTTACCGTGGTGTGGCGGTTCGTGTACCTCGGCGACCCAGTGAGCTATACTGAGGGATGTCCGCGCGTCGCTCACAGAGTCTCTCATACCAGGTTGGTCCATGGGTAGAGGTCCGATGGACACAGTCTCCTGGCCCTCCAGTTTGGGGGTTGAAACATTTATGGCGACGTGTTCCGTGAAAATAGTAATGTACTTGCATTTCCAGCCGAACACCGTTGCTTCGCAGTTAGGCTTTCGAGCCGAAGGCTTTGGCTGAGGACTCTAATCGTCCTCCTCCACGATGCTATGTCGTGGCCACAGTCGCAATAACGCACGGCGAATCATTTGCCTTATGTGCGGAACACACTTGGCTTGGGTGGCGGCTAGCAAACAGCCGCGATTCGCGGGATACGATACCAAGGGTGAGGGCATCGCTGTAGAAATTGACGGTATCTCACATTTCAGAGCGCTGCCTACTTCACAGAGCTCTTCCTACCCAGTCATGTACAGAGTCGGAATGACTGAATGGTGCGCAACCTTGCAATGAAGTATGTAAACGCAGGCCAGTAAACCCATTGGCTGACAGCTATCACACTTCTGAATCAGGACGCTAGGACAACACAGGAGGTAATTCATTAGAAGACGGCTCGGTTCGCCCAATTAGGTCTATTACCAGTGCGTATCTGGCTGAATACTTAAGTTCCCAGATTATCAAAACTACTTACCACTGATGAGTTTGTTGGGCCGTCGTCTCCATGCCTCTTATTCCTGTTCCTCTAAGTAAAACCATATTAACTAAGATCGCCGTAATATGGATACACTGTTATAGGTGAACATATGATACGATTTTTCGTTTCCTGTTACCGCGAAAACACCTCAAACTTATCGTAAATTCCTGTTTGATGCCAACTTCAGACTGGCCTCACCTTGGCATATTTTTCCATCGTTACGGTGGATCCTCTTGTATTTATCACCATCAGCTCTAGAGGCAGCAGCATCAGTGTTTGCACTGACGCTTAACTGCCGTAGTGCCGTCTTGTTAAATGCCGAGAGAAGGAGCACTCGACTTCTCGCTGACTGCCCGCTTGCTGACAGCTTTCACCTTTTTATCAATGACGTACTGCAACACCTCGGTTTTATCTCTACTACCCCAGTACACGCTCCTCGAAACCGGCGTGCCCACCACACATCACCGCGTCCATATCCATCCTCCTTGCACCTCGTATCGTGTCGTCGTTCTCCGCTGTAGGAGCTACCGGTTCGCTTATTCTCTTGTGGAACCAAATCCCCACTCCTTTATAATCTAGTAAGACAAAGTAACATGTTCTCGTGGCAGCCATTTAGTTCGCTGTTTTGCGTACTTGTCAGCTGTTGGCTTTTTGTTTCCCAAGGTTCCCGATCATTCGACTACCCCTGAAACATATTGAAAAGGTCATTTAACTTTATCATGCTCGTTTTGCCGCTGTGTTCTCGCTAATTTATTGCCTTTACAGCTCATGGGCTACGGTGCTGCCTGAAGGCAATGTGCCTGCCATTTGAAAATCCTCTGATTTCAATCTGTTTGCACTTATATTAGCTTTAAAGTCTTGCGGCCAAGTAAGCTCAACAAACAACGTTATTGATGATGTTTTCTGCAGTGGAGAGTTTAAAGCGGAGGATTTCCAAGATTTACTACAATCATGGGTTGTTTTGTGCAACGCACCCGATTCAAATAATCACCTGTGTGTGTCTTATCGTTATTTTTCTCTGGTATGTGCAACAATCATTTTACCGTTGAAGCACCGCAGTTTTCCTCTTACGCAACTTCCTGTGATAAAGGATGTACCGTTGGATCACGTTGTCCTTCGAGAAGACGAGTTCCTGGCGTTTGAGAACTCCCATCTTTTTGTGAGTTTAGCAAACATCCAACGTTTTGAGACTTCTTTCGGGCTAATGTAAAACTCTCTTCCAGCAGTCTTGTCTGGGCTTGGAAAGTGTTTTGCATGGTTTCGCAGCCTTTGCTTTGATTTGAGTGAATATCCTATCTTACACCTGAATAAACTCATTCGACGTATAAAGGGATCCTCCCGAGGCAGCCCACTTTGCACGGTAATACTCAGCAAACGTTTCCTGTCAGTTTTCCATGAAGGCCATGTGCACCTTTTTGTGATTCCGGCTGTTTCTCACCTTGGAAAAATAGGCTCCATGGATATCATTTACTGGAAGTGCCACTATTCAATAACCTACGGCATTGGTTGCTGGTACGTTCACCGAGCTTGGCAGTTGGATTGCAAACGTTTCATCACCAACCGAGGTGACATCGTCAGTGCGGAGTTTAGTGGTCATATCCAGATAAACCCAGCCACATAAGCACCTTAGTCCTGATTGCGAGTGCCTTGATTAGACGCCTGACCCTTTGTTCAACAGCTTCAGAGCGCTACTCTTGGGACCACCTGTCTACCAATCAATTTTTGCGAAATCGGCCTTTGGTTTAATTTCGCTGTTAGTCAGCTGTTGAACACTTACTAAATGACTCTGATTAAGTCTGTGGCTGGTTAGTCGAAGAATAACTGAGTGGACTTGTGATCCACAGGCTAACAGACCATGAAACCCTTGACCAAAGGTTACGTGTTCTATTTTTCTACGCCCACTTGATTTGTCATGGTAAGGATCTAATTGCTCGCGTGACTGAGGTTTCTTGGATCCTGCACTTTACTATAAGCATCCCGTAGTTACTAGGTCCTCCGCGAGGATCGATGACGGATCGGGCAAAATATTCTAACCGTTGCTCTGTAGTCAAGTGATTGTCCCAACAGGTCCACAGCTAATTCTACCAAGGTCCACACCAAAGGTCAGGGTGTTAGCCTGCTGGAAGGACGTTCTCGTGAGAGACCAACCCTCAAAGTACCAACAACTTATAGTTGGTCCATCGACCTTAAAACCTAAACCGAGCCGAAGAACAACTACAAAGTTACAGTCCACTATCCATAGACAACACCATCCACCCAACCACTGCTGCATTTCTTCAGCTGCTCCAGGGAGTTATCAGCCCTAACACCCTTTTGGTGCCTAGCTGCCATGCCGCTCGAAGGAAGGATACTGCCAGATTGCCCAAGCCTAGACAGGAGAAGTCGAGAGATAGGTCGTGTTCGAACCACAGACCTTCGGGTCGGTAAATTCGTGATCTAACCACTTGAGCTAGAGATAGCTCACTGGTTAAGGGGCGAGCTTACTAACCAGAAGGTCTATAGTTCGAATTTAACCCCAGCATATGGACTGTTCCTTTCTATCTAGCTTCGGGCCCCGGTGCTTCCTTCGGGTGGCATGGCTGCTGGGCACGGAAACGATGTTACAGCTGGGTGATTATTATTAGCAACCATCGTTTCGTATTCCCTCCGAGGAACCAACACCGCCTTATGTATACACAGATCCAGCATTATTACTATGGGTGAACTGATGCAGATGAAAAAAACCTTCGGGAAGTCAGGAAGGGAAGCCTCCAATTGACCATCCTGTAACCGCTCCTTCTCTTCCGTGACCGTATGGCGATGTTCAGCAATTTATGTCTGCTGGGCCGGGCAATTCCCTTTCTGACGTTTTGTACCCAATTGATTTAGCTGTAGCACCCTCTCGGTGCCTAACTGCTATGCCACCAGAAGGGATACTGCCGGGTTGACCAAATCTAGACAGGGGAAGCCGAGAGGCAGAGGTCGGGTTCGAACCACAGACCTTCCGGTCGGTAAATTCGTGCTCTAACCACTGAACCATCTCGCTCCCAATCGAGGTAACAACACCTGTAAGTAGCGAATTGGATGTGCTTTGCAGCGTGTTGGTACGCCGAGTATTGCGCTAATTGTCCCTCCATCATACAATCGCCTCACAAATGCGACCGAATCTGCTGGACCTTTTCGAGATTACGAGAAAGAAAAACCGTATGTCGGATGTTAAACGCCACTGGGAACATATATCCACAGAGCTGGAATTTTTCATCTGCGGTAAAATCCGACAAACCTCATCCAAACCTAGGATCTCTGATAGGACCGTGGCTTTGCTTGAGGCCCAGTGACAAATTTCTCCTGACAGCAACAACAACTCAACCCGATGGATCATTGACGCCAGGTAAAACTGAGTATCTTTGTAAACCAAAAGGTTCGGTAGACCGAAATGCCGAATAAATCTTGTTCCACATGATTCGTTCGACTGGTTTCCAGAAGCCTCTTGTCGGCGTAATTATCAAGGACCAGAATGGCTCTCTGATATCCAGCAAAGGAGAAGTTTGGACCGCTGGGCACTCTACTTCGAAAAAAAATTTACTTGACCACCTGCTACCTCCAATCCGGACTGCCGGATCTCAACAGAAAGGTGAACTGTGAACATACAGCTCTCTCAGCCTCGGAAATGTCCGATTGTGTACCTCTACTCAAGGGTCATCGTGATGCTGATCCCTGCTCTCTTCAGTTATGGTGATTCCTCATTCATTGCCTGTCTAGCCTATTTGGGTCGATCTGGAAGACCGCTCCAGATAACTGGAACGAGTCAGTAGTAACGCCCGTTTTCAAAAAAGTACTCGCAGTGAATGTGATAACCTCAGAAGTGTGAGTTTGACTCCCGTTGTAGCAAGGCCGTCGTCTTACGGCAGCACGCGAATCCTTGACGCTTAAGCATCAAGCAGGATTTCGACATGGCAGAGGCTGCATCAACCACATTTCTGCACTCTGTCAGGTGTTAGAGCAATGACTCACGATATTGGTTTCCTTGACTTCAAGTGTGCGTTCCACTCTGTTGATCTCTCAGTGCTGTTAACCACACTTTTTCAATAGGGTGTGTCCCGGAAGTTTATGAACACAATCCGGCTCCCATATTCACATCCTTCTGGGCGTGTGAGAGTGTATGGTGAGCTTTCCTACGATGTGTTGTATCTCACAAGGATGTCCACTATGTCCGCTCTTCAACTTCTTTATTGGTGAAATAATGATTAGAACGCTGGAATTGTCGATCTGGAGTACGCAGAAGACATTGCCCTCATTGAAGACGAAGGCATAGCACAAGCTCTGTTGTATAGACTGACTACCATCACACTATCTTTTGGCATGTGTGCAGTCCAGCGCTCCTGTGAGTGTCAAAGAAATTTCAGTCGCAAATCCTTAACTAACTGGATGCGCCCCGCCGGTGTAACAGTGTAGCCTACTGATGGAACATTCAGGTGGTCTAAGGTCTGATATCCAAGCTTCGCCCCCGCATCCCATGGAAGATGTAGGTTACTACGGTAATAATGGAGCCACTTTGCAGTGTTCGTTTGTTTAATACTCAGTGAACTTCCAGGAAGGTTCAACAGGACGCTCGTGAAAATTCACTTTTCAACGACTATGGGCAAATTAGATGTTTAATTTCGTATCGAATGACTAAGTTCGTATTTGCTCATAAACCAATTTGCAGCGAAGGACTTTCCTCCTTTCATCGGTATAGCAACACGTAGTGCACTCGCGCAATCTGTTTAATTGTTTGTCGCACAGTTTAAGATATCCGTTTGGGCGGTTTAAAAGGACAAATTCTCAAGTGATCAGCTACGGTTGATCATAAGTTCAGTAAGTTGAAAGGATGCATATCTGTTCTGACCCTGACTCTAATCTCTTTTAGTGTGTGTTGTAGGTTCTATAAGCTTCCAATACTTTTGTCTCATTTGGGACCTGGAATTTGCTGTACATTTTCAGATATTCGTACAACCGACTGGCATACGCGATTGTGATATTGGCCTACGTTTGGGCTCGATCAGTTAGCCTCACCTTTCCTGTACACTTTCCTCCGAACGAAAGTTGACGCAAACTTAGCCTATTTTTCGTGGCTTCTCCTCTTCCGAGGGTTGCGGCGACAGTATGACATTCCGGGATGGCCTAAGTGGTTAGAGCGGAAATTTACTGACCGGAAGGTCCATGGCTCGAACCCGACTTCTGCCTCTCGACTTCTTTTGTCTAGGCTTGGGTGACCTGGCAGTATCTCAGCCCTCATGCCTTCTTCGGGTGGCATGGCAGTTAGGCACCTGAAGGGTGCTACAGTTGAACGTTTTTTTATGACACTCTGTGGAACACCAATGTGACTGTTCTAAGTTGTTTTTGGAGGAACGTGTTTGGATGTGTGCTTTATTGGGCATTGTTGGGGTCTGTTCATCGAACGTCACCTGGATTTTATGTCATGAACCTTTGCCAATACGCCTCTTCTTGCAAGAACTGTTCAGACTGTAATGCGATCTCAGTGATGTTTCAGCGGACACGACTGTATTATGACGATCAAGCTATGATTGATGAACACCGCTGTTTGCAAACGACCCACTGCTTCGTGCTCTGTGACTGTTTGACGAAAACCGCAAATAAACGAAACCAGCTGAGGAGACTAAGTCGCGGGATAGGGCCAGAAATTACGTCTACCCCACCCTCTACAGGTCACATGATCCATGCACTCAATTCTTATTTAGAGGCGGTGAGATAAATGCATTCCTACTGATGGATATAGCTGATTAATAATCGGTTTCATGTAGCATTTGCTAGGTTGAACCAGCGTTGTTTTTCTTGACTAGAACTATTATGTGAGAAAGTCTGTTTTGTGTCAGCCTTTTTCTAAAAACTACTTTCCTCTTTGCTTTGGGTTGTTTTATCTCCCAGAATTCTGGAAATCCCAACAAAAGTCTCGGCTACTGCATTCAGATTATTCTCCACTCGACGTTCGCCCCAGCCACAAGCAACGGTTGTTCCCGACCAAACCAGCTACTGGTGAACCTGCTTCAACAGAGCGCTGAACTTGTTCGATCACTCCGTGAATTTCGCTCAACCACAACCCTGGCTTCATCGCGTGTCCAGTCATTTGAGGATGCTTGTTTCCAGGTCTGTACTTTTCACCAGCGATTATCTTTTGCGGTTTCAACTTTCATTGAACACCACCTGTTTAGTTAACTATACCTTCACTTCATGAAATGTGGCCTTCTCGGGTCAGTGAATGACACCTGTACTGCGTCTGCCGTTTGGTAGCTGATCTAGTGCAATTTTCTCGTGTAGGATTAACTCTGCTGAACCACATATCAAAATATTCCTACTTTATCAGCTTGCTATTCATTTCCTCACCTTTCAAGGTGGAAGACCGCGTTGTGACCGAGCTTGAATCGACCGATACAATCTTCAACATGCTGCCCACCTTCGACTGTCTTTTGCTGGCTCCCAGTTTGTTATGGAGGCATCAGGATGTCGAAAAAACCCTCACGCCAGGTGAACATCTGTTCGCCCGTTTGAAACAAGCGGCTGTAGGCGACCTACGCAACTTGTTTTTCGGTATGCCATGGAAACTGACTGGTGTCACGCGGAAACCAGTTTGCAATGAACCGAGTACAATGGCTTTTGCTGTGACTCTTGTTCTCCGTGAATATGACCCAGAGTGAGTCTGATTTTTTGCTGATAGCATCGAGCGTGCCTTGGACTCCCGCCAATCTGCAGGTTGTTGACAAGAACAAATGAACTATTGATTGATGGTGCGAGAGCGATTTAGTTGGAGCGTTTCAGTGACACTTTAGCTCTTTTGCCCCTTGTTGGTTACGTGTAGTCTGTACATCACTGTTGGGTGACCTAATGTTTTGGGATAGGCGACACACAGCCACGAATGACATTAAGTTGATTCTCAATCAAAACCAACGTATATAGCATACCTTTATAGGTCACTCATTTATGATACTTTCTACTGCCTTCTCCCATTTACATAGCTTTATTGAAAAACTTCGTGACCACATTGTTACTCAGTTTGTCCACAACCGCAATTCTACCGCAACGGTGGCACAGCAGGGTTCAACAGATAACCCGGACGCAAACCATTCTACGCTACGGCCAAACGTTCACGATCCTGCCGGACCCAACACGCCAAATGTCCGGAATGTGTACCTGGTGTGGTACAGAGGACGATCCTATCTTTCCGACTACGCACCCCTGATCCTCATCTATTTAGTACTGTTGCTTTATATCTATTTTTCTGTCTGTGAGTTTCCGCTGTACCTCTCCTGGCTAATCTCCAGGGGTGTGTGATGATGGTGCGGAAAAATTGTATGTTTCAGACAGTGTCTTAAGTAGCTCGTTGGGTGTTTCTGATTACCTTTTGGAATCTGAAATCCTTTTATACGGGGATTGAAACACTAGCCGCTATGATTATTCGACATTTTTTCACCATGGTACTACTATTCATTTGCGGTTGAATGCACAGACACCAAGCCTTTATTCAGCCTTTATTCAGATAGTATCGTCCACTTAATTTTCGTTTTGTTATGTTGCTCATCGAGCTTGTTGCACTTCGTTGTTTTTGCTTGCTAGCATGACCTAACTGCTTATTGTCGGTTTATTCTAGGCAAACTGGAAATGGTCAAGAGTAAAATAGCGCTCGCCTTCAGTGCGTGTTTCACCGTCGTTGCCTCGTTATGCATGTCTCTTGGGTTGTGTATAACAATCGGCCTAATGGTGCCCACCTTGAGTGGCAGGTACGTATGTGTATACACCAATTCGCTATCCGTGTGACTTACCCTGACTGCTTTACCTAGCCCCGTTCATTGTTGCTTCCTTTCAGTGAAATCTTCCCCTACTTGGTTGTGCTTATTGGATTTGAAAATGTGATAGTTCTAACCAAGTCGGTCGTGGCCACTCCGGTTGACTTACCCGTGAAATATCGGATTGCCCAAGGTGAGTACGCGAGCCATCCACGAACGTTCTGTCCATTTTATAATGCGTTCTCAAAATCAAGTTCCACTTTAGTCTGTTATCATCTTGGCGATCGCGCGCTAGGTTGTTGGTGGACATTTCAGTTCTAAAGACGCATCTAGTTGGTTAACGGCGGAAATCACTTGCAGTAGACACAACGGTACACATTCACGGATGTATCTGTGGACAAATTCACGTTACTTCGGTTTCAATGGGTATATCTGATTGCAGATAAGGAGCTTGCTTTACCCGTTTCTGAAGTCACCTTTATGTGCCACCGAACGATCCCCTCGAACCATCCATTCTCCACCCTGATACGGCACTGTTGAAGTGTAGGAAAGACCTAGCTCTGGTGGATTCAAAGTTACTTTAAATTATAGGATTTCATACAGAGCCGACGCGCGTGCAGTTGAATTTATAGAGTTAGAATGAATAATAGCCCCACCCCATTCTTAATTGTGTGAAAACCTACCGTCTCGCGTGCCACCTCCGTAGACATGTGTTCAAATAGCACCAAACAGCCAGTTAATTAATATGTAAGTTTGGTGCTCAGTTGTCACACATTCCCCGGATAGCACAAAATTTGAGACGTACTTCCGGGTTGCCCAAGCCTTGACAAGAGCAACTGGAAATTCAGAGGGATGAAAGAGCGGACGTTAGCGGACAAAGGTTCACCCAATCTAGAAAATCTAGGTATCTGTGTGATTAATTCTTAGTTTTCCACCAATGTACATGCAGTCTTGTCGGTGAATACACAAGTAGACCTGATAAAACGCTGTGCTGAGTAAAAACACTGCTTCCGTATTGACTTACTTAGCTTCATTAGTGCTGAGTTCCGGTTTCTGTGATCAAAAATGAGTTTTTTTCAATCGATCTTCAGTCGATCAAACGAATGCCCAGTACAGACATCTGAAGTCTTCGGAATGCGCCACTGTTGAATCGCAGATCATGTGTTATGCATTCACAAGGACCTCAGAGGAACCCGTAAATTATCGAACTCGTATTGACTGAACTCATGCAAACGGCTCATCTACAGAGGTTTTTAGCGTGAGTCGAACAGATCTGGCAGTTGAACTTTGTCCCTGTCTTGGTTCTGTTCATTGTAGCTTGCATATGGTTCACACCCGAGCCAGCTGGAACCGTCTGTATTGCACATCTCGTACCTGGTCGTCTTGCATTTTAAATACTAACCAAATATGCAATGAAAAACCATTGTAGTGTTCTCAGCTCGCCCACTTAATATGAGGTGGACGTCTTTCCATCATTTTTCTGCCCTACGGCGTCAAATCGAGTCCCTTTATTTCTTATTCCCGGTAAGAACAAATTAGTCAAATGGATCACGTTTTCAGTCCTTTCAGCCAGCCACAGAATCTATCTTTCCACACAAGTTTGAGCAACCTGGCTTTGGATGAAGTCCGGCTTGGCACAGTTCATTCTTATCACGGGAGCACACAGTGGTTAGGCGTGAGCGTTCGGTTGGATCGATCAACTGCACCTTTCTTTGAATGGATGATTGTGTATACTGTCGGCTGTGGTGTGTTGCACAGCTGTGTTGGGTTGTTCTTGTGGCTTGTCAGTCGCCACGCACAGTCCAGATACACATCATTCTCGTCCTTCCCTCTTACTACTCTGGAAAGGAATATTTCTGAATATTTAAATGTCGCACTTTGAAAACAACTCCAGCTGATTGTGACTGGCCATTTTGGACGCAAAGCAACAAACAATTCAAATATTCCCGCAATGATTTATTTATGCGATTGCTCTCCACAGTTGGCGTTCAAAATTTTACTTTCCATGTTGCACATCGCAGATACGGCAAATAGTGGGAATTATAATCAACTTTGAGGCCAATCAACAAGGTCTCTAATGATGCTTTTGTTTACTGACCTCCCCCCGGGTTATTGATACGGATTTGAATCCGTAAAGTTAGACTAGCTTTCTCGAGTGCTTGGCTCTAATGATCTCGTTAGAGCCACCTAATTTTTGTGTAAAGTGAAATCACTAACCTCTGTCTGTGACATTACGTGGTGCAAAATCTTTAGTGGCAGCGGCTAATTTCCACGATGTTGTTTTTTTCACTGTTTTGCTGTCATTCTTCCTCACTAGGACTTTGTAGGGCCCAGAAATACCCAAATAACGTACTCGAATCACTTACAGAGCACTTTTCCAGTCTGAATGCATTATTTCCTATTTCTATACCTCTTGTTCGACGGGTAACCTCTGTGACTTTATCGTTACGCTCACCTGGGTCTGTGATTCTCTGAGTGTAACTAAGTTTGTTTCTACCTGTAACCCGTCATAAAGCGATTGTTCTCAGCCTGACAGGAATCTGTCATTGGGAATTCGAACGTTTCAAGGGAAAACGGAACCCGCATGTTCTAAAGCTTGAATGTATGCTGCACTGTTGGTGGTTCTGTTTTATTTTGTGTTTAGAGCGAATGAATTCAATTCTGCTGTGAAAATGGAAATGACTGTCAATAATACTGTTGACTCTGTATAGACACCAGCCATAACAAGAGGCCATTAGTATTCGGGGCGTTGAAACGCATTTTAATGGTAAACTCCCCTCCCTGAAGAAACCACGTCGAACCAGTCTAGAGATGGTCAACTATTTTCCGTTAAAATGAACTTTTCGAGTCTGGTTGGATCGTCCACCCACTCGATATGGGTATTATACGGGAAACGCTCATCAGACTGTCAGATATAGCGGCGTTGGAAGTGAATTTCCGAAGTCTGTTGAGTGCCATAGTACTGGAACCATTTTTACTTCTTTTCGCCCTTTCCTTTGCCTCGTTCTAAACATTGTCACTGATGACGTGTCACACCCAAATTGCTCAAACTAGCGGTTTGCATTCGACAAGGAACAGTCTACTCCGACACACAGCTACAACAGATGACCAACTTGGCCGTGGATCTGGGGTCCCAGAACTCCCAGTAGCGAATTGGGCAAACATGTTTGCTGGATTCAAGGCCTCTATAGGTTTCCTTTGCTACCTTGCAACTCCCATTTAGCTATGCGCTAGTTAGGTGTGCCGTGCCAAGTCTCAGCTTCTCTGACAAAATCTATTAGGCGGATGTTGTTGCATGACTGATCACTCTGAGAGAGTTCTTAGGTTCCTCGCATTGTTTGCAATCAACCACACGATGGTTAATTCGGTTAAGTGTGAGTTTCTCACCTCTAGTACTTGGTTCTTTAAAACATGTGTATATAATCTGGTAAGTAGTTGTCTCTCGGTTCTTTCGGCGTAACTGAAAAAGTGTACATTACAAAGGCTAAACTATGGAACAGGCTCTGATCTTGGCGTTGGTTGCATGTAATCAACTAACCTGAGTGCAGGAGATTTTTGGATTCTCTGATATCTAGATGTGATATATAGACGGAATGCTTATCAGGCCTGAATTCCACAAACCCACATGCCTTAGACAGCATTTCAATTTCAAAAGTTCTATCTCAGAAGAGGTCTGTTTACAGTAGCCCGAACGCTTTGTTCTGATCAGCACTAGCAAAATCTCTGGAGCCGTATCGATTTCTGCAGGGAGATGGTTACCCCACCACTATCAGGAAGTTCAGAGGAATAGTAGAAAATAGAGTGATTTAGAAAAACCACCTTCATTTGAACATCTTTTGAGGATCACAATGGCAACCAAATACAGCACCCATCGACGCTAGTTGGAATAGCTAGACTGGCCTTTTTTGTGCTGAACGAAACGATGTGAACGGTAATGACAAACTGAACCGTCTGATAACCGTAACTCACACATATCACCTACGGATATATACCAGGGTTCCTAAATGTGTTACAAAGAATTCCGCGCTGAAAGGTTCGCATATCTCACCCAGCTCAATTTGACCGCGATGCGCTTGGTTGAAACCAATCCAAAGGCCGGTAACTTGCACAAAATAATCGCTAAAAACATCCCCCTGGGGAAACTTCTGCTCCACAAAATCAATTTGTAACCAAGTTGAATTCGTGACTAGCTCTGCTTTGCCTCAGTAAGACCGACAACGCTGTTGTGTATCTATCAGTGCTCAGAGCGTCACCGATTAAAGTAAACAAAGTCTTCCCTTCGATTTCACGAAAATCAACTGTACACCGACGTTGTTTTCATTCTTCCCTTCTGGATACCGTCAGTTTATCATGAAGTAACCTAAAATATCCCGCATTCTTAGCTTTTATAATACGGTTTGCGAACCACAATTGGATCCGGTAGAATTCAGGCTAACCGCCAATCAAACAGGGTTTGCGTAGACAGTAACTTCTAACTAAAAATGGCAATCAGTTTGAGTACGTGTCTTTAGGTCTGCGTGGTCTTGCGGTGTATCGGCTGTATTCGCCGTATTCATTGGCTAGTGTGGTTCTCCAAGGAGAAAGCCTTAGGAAAGCCTTAAATGTACTGTAGTCTTCGAGGAAAAACCTTTTTACAGAACAGAAAACAGTAATGTTCCCTATCCGCCACGACCAAGTGTGCGTTATCTCCCGAGGGCTCCTAGAAGAATGCCAAAGTGCTTGTGGTTAATCGAGAATGAGGTGGTATTTTCTGGTTATCACCCACTCCCTCTCTTTGTGTTTCATCCACCACTGATTCATGATCCTCATTTTCAGGTCTCAGTAAAGAAAGCTGGCCGTTGACAAAGCAGTATTTCACTCAACTGGTCCTACTGTGTCTCGGTTTCCTCACGTTCCACCCCACAATGCAAGAATTCTGTCTGTTTGCTATGGTCGGCGTTACCACTGACTTCTTTCTGCAGCTATTCTTCTTTGTGACCGTGTTGTCTGTGGACATTCGTCGTATGGAGGTAGGCTTGACCAGTTTGTTTGATCCTATCATCTATTGGAATCGATTTCGCCATCATTTTCAATTTTACCATTTAATCATCATGCAACAATCTAGTGCCTGCCGGATTTGTCTTGCGATATACGCCAGGTCCTTCCTAATGTAAGTCACCTCTCAACTAAAGGCCATCCCTCGTGAGCTCTTAAAAATTTCCACCATTTAAACTTTTTGGTGATCCATGTACCCATAAGGAACGCCTGATGGCACGCTCACCACAAACACTTGCCCCTGGTCATTGTCCACTCTTCTAGCATCTGCTAGACCAGAAATAGTATTCCAGAGCAACAAAATGGTATAAAATAATCGTTTAGCTGTAACACCCTTTCGATGTCTATTTGCCACGCCACCCAAAGAAAGCACAAGGGCTGGGAAATTACCAGGTAGCGGTAGCCTAGACACAGGAAGTCGAGAGGCGGAGGTCGGGTTCGAACCACGCACTTTCCGGTGAGTAAATTCGCGCTCTAATTATTGAGCTATCTCTCCCTGTGGTTCCTCCGGCCTCAAATTGGTCACGTCTCAATGCTGCTGGTCTGGCCAAAAGAGCGAAAGAGAATGTACCAGGCAAGATGTCGCATCTCATGTGTATCACCCTCGATTTTCAGCTGTCGGACCTATCTACTCAGTACCAAAGTGTTGCAATGCTTTGTGAGTCCAAACACCTACTCACCAGTCATTCGATTTCGACCGAATCACAAGATCTCAGCTCCTCAGCTCCACCACTGCCCGAGACTGCCAACAACGCAGCACAAGCGGTCTTCCGGTTTCGGGGAATGAATCATGGTATCGTTTTGCCGTTCGTTCGCTATTGTATCCGGCGAACGTTTGCGTTGTGCATAATCATCTGGAGTTGGACACGATTTTACTTTGCGAAAGTCTTTTCAAAGGTGCGACCTAAGCTCAGACCGGGACATAAGCGTCGCGTTTCTGGTAAGTTTTTGTCTACCTCGTGTGTTGTAAACACGTGCTTTAAGTCTTCTGGCCTTACGCTGCATTTTCTTCATTATCAGCATGTTTTGATTCTAGCGAAGTCCATGGAATTCCAGCGACGTCCGTGAATCCGTCCACTGTGTATTTAAATGACTAAGTCTGCCGTGTTCTTAGTCATTCTAGACCAATTTCAATACATCACATGAGTTGTAATCATTGTTTTTGATCTTGAGGACTAACTTCCTCACTTCTGATCTGTTCGGATGACTGCCTTATATATCTGATATTTGATAGTAGTTTATATAGGCAAGAGTGGATCTGTTGTCAATAGACATCATATTGATTGGGAAAATGGAAAAAACACCAAAAAATCCGCGTTAATACGAAACGTGGGGCGCTGTGGAGGTTTGTACAAGTGAACGTTCACTGTTGTCCTGAAAACTGAGAAAGAAAATACGGCCTTCCGGGAGCAGAAGGCGGTTCTGTCATTTGCAACTTTTGAACTCCTACGGAATCAGTGCCCAATCAAATGTTGCTGTGTGTTGGCGACAAATTTTCCTTTAGGCTATCTAACTTACTCTTACACCTACAGAATCTCTCCGCTATGGGTGGAAGGAAAAAGGCCTTCGCTGCGGAATTGTTCATTAGAGAAACACTAACTGAACAGTTACAGACTATTGAACAGGGAAGCAAAACTCTCATATGCATCTTATTTACAAAAACTGAATATCCATATTCTCCTTGAACGCGTCTTCACTAACTTTTCTGGATATTCATTGATGTTATTCGAGTGCAAGCAAATGCTACAAAGGGACTCCACAGGTTCCATAACAGATCTCAATTTTCAAGAGCAAAGCGGATTTACGGGAAAACATACTACTCGCATCCTCTCCAGTAGTATCCACCGTTACATGGTTACGTAATGGTCGTGCAGTTTCCCTTGAATTTCTTAACGATACTACTCTGCTTGTTGTTGGCATCCATCAACTACAGTCAAATCAAGACATTATCCCAATCAACATGGTGCGTTTCGGTACTTTCATCTAAGAGTTCATCAGTCGGAATCCTAGGATGCTCCAATCTAAATTCAGAGCAACCCTAGGTATTGTTGTTTTATACCCTTGGTCATGGGAGGCCCCCATCTCCCTACCAATGGAGACCTTTTACAGGGGGTCATTGGCTTAGGCTTCCAGTCGTTTTCCAGGCATTCACAGTAATATAATAGGCATTAAAGAGTGGACAAATGAATAATATTTGTCAACCCTACTCCAGCGTCGTGATGCACGCTTTCTGCTTGTGTTTTCGCTGGATAGCGGGTCCACTTCCTAGAAATCATGGTCTCTATACGAAAGCTCGAACCTCACAAAATCCAACTGCAAGAGATTGGAAATATCAGTCCTGGGGGCAGACAACCTCACGCATCTATGCAGATGTTCATTGGTGCCTTTCCGAATTTGTTTTTGACGAATAGTCCTTACGTCTATTTTTTTGCTCATGCAACACCCATAGCCGCGGAAGCTGCTGCCTTCCTCGCCTCAGATGACAAACCAACGGCAAATGTCCCGCGACGCTTGTGGCTTCTTCGAAGTTGGGCAAAACATCGTTTGGTTCAACGAATATTCATGGTGAGTTATGTGATGAGTGTAGTTCTGTTTATCATTCACTGGACGACCCTGCTCATCCACCAATTTGGTATCGGACTTTACCGAACCGATCATTGTTTTCGCTTGATTCCTGGACAACTGCGGCTAATTGGGCATGATTTACAGATGCTTATTTTGTTTAGTTGTGGAAAAATGCGAAAATATGGGCACAGCTTTGAGTGAATACGTTTCATGTCATCCACAAACCGAGACAGTACAACACAGCTTCGCAAGAGTATTCATGCCCTTAGTCTTGAGGTCGATCGTAACCTTCGAATTCAGTAGCATTCTTTGTGCTATCGCTTCATATTTTTCCTGCTTTTCGCATCTGCTTCCTATGTGACTGTGAGAAAACAACTATTTATCTTTCTTCAGTTGGCAGTTGCTATATGGTTGGTGATTTTCGTCCTGTACACAGTGGATTTAGCTCAACTCGTGGACACCTTCCATTCCTCACCATCCACCAGTTCTTCGGTGACAGCTGACGATAAGTTAGGTGCTCCAGTTCCGGAACAAACGGACCGCCGGGTTTCGATCGACGAACCGGAGCCAAAATCTGTGGCACCAGAGGATGATTCAACTGAGGGGCCACCCTCCAGTTCATCGAAATCATCTCTCTGGGATGTTGAACTTGGTGGTAAGTTTGGAGATTTAGTTCGTGCACCTCCGTGGCTCCACCCTAGTGAAGCAACTTGGGACCACAACCTTCTATGGAATTACTTGGCCTTTTATCAGTGGCCCTACCTGGCTAAGCACTATAATCTGAGTCTATCCGGCTGTCATCTGGCCATTCTGGAGCCCATTCATTTGAAGCACGAAGTACCCAGTTATTCAGGCGCAGAATCCTTGCAGAGCGGTGCTGCTTCCGAAGCGTTATCACAGTAAGTTTTTGTCCATCTTTGAGTTCTTTGCGTCTCGACCCACTTATGAATTCGTGATCTTCAATAAAAATGATACCATGAGAATCTCAATGCGCGTTAACTAGGCTCTTCGGATAGCACATACAGACAATTATTCACTCCATCACCAATCAGTCCCACATTCACTGGTTGAAGCTCTATCCTGAATCAGGCGAAAAAAGGCCTAAACAACTGGCGGAGGAAATATGGTCGCTGTTGCCTTTGTTGTTGACTATCTTGTTCACTGACGGTCGTCTTAACATAATCCGTTACCAAAGAACCACGGAAGTCAGAATTCAGCATTCTTCGACTTTGGCCTCACTGTACTTTGGCTCCTTCACTGTACAGCTGCTATATAGCGTCATGGAAGTTAAAGGACTAAGGTACTGTCTTGTGGCCCGAGCGTCTATAGGGACAATCGAAAAGCCAGGTTTGGATTCAAGCCAGGGACCTTCCGGTCACCAGTCTGGCGCCTTAACCGCCGAGCTATCTCGAGCATTTTGGGTTCAATATAAATTTGCCTCATTGATTTCTTATGAACCGGATGTCGTAATGTTTGCTGCCCGTCCAACAACGAATCTATTCAAAGGGTATCAAACATTGAAATACAGTACAAACGGAATAGTGTTGCGGAATATTGGTAGCTCAGGTTGTTGACTTGTTTACTAGTCTTGCCAATTTATTTGCAAACTTTTTGTTATCATTCAGGGAGAGTCGTCAATGCGCTGTTGACTGGCTATTCCTTTCTTTCATGGTGGAGTTTATGTAGTTTAGCTGAGAACAGATCGTATATCTAATGTGATTGCCTCCGGAAGTTTTACACACGAAACCGTGTGTAGAGCAAGGAACTAACCGGAGAGCAAAGTAGACCGGAACCATGGGCTGAATTAAAGTTTCTATTAGCAAAAAACGCTACCTTATGCGGACCACCACAAGGCGCCAGATATATCGAATGGATCAATAAGAAGACACAATACACCGAGCGGATCTACTAATCAAATCGAAGGGCTCCCACACCACAACGCACTACAACTCTCGTAGGGGCCAATCAGAACCAGTGGAAGCCACTGAAGACGATAACCAGTGGACCAGAATCACCGTCAGACAATGATATTATAGATGTGAGCCCTCTTTAGTCGGGCTGTGTGAACCCAAACACAGTGGGAGGCACACCCGATTTCTCTTCGAAGGGATACGAAACGGTTGCAAATCGGTTGTCGAGCTCGGCAAAGAAGCCAAAAAAGGAGGTTCTTTTTAGCTTTTGTTACTCGTTGCTCGATCGCATTAATGTTAGATTGATGGTTGTTCTGGTCTCTGATGAGGCTCACCTTTCCGCCCACTAGATACTTTCCGTACGGTGTTCCAGAGCGTTCATTCGATTGGAACTGGGTCTCTTACACCGCGCTTCAAGAGTTCCTAATCCAGTCGTTCAATTCCAATCGTAAAGATAACGCACCTTCTGGGGATTCACCGTCCGATACAGAACGCAGTCAGTTTCTTGGACTACCGGAGGAATTGTTGAAAATCGTGGATAAGTTAAATCTACGACCGCTTTCTACTCACGTCTCTCCCGGTGGTATAGCCGGATGGACTGCCCGTCTGTGGTTGACTGCAAGTCTGCTGAAAACCAGCTTCCTTGGTTGCAGTTTGGTTCTTTTGGTCACGTGTCTCGGGATGATATGTTTTCAAGAGCTACAATCAAAGTGAGTCAGAAACGTCCCTCCGGTGAATAGAAGCTTTTAAGTAGGTATTACCTTGAGGTTGGACTTCCTCACAAACTCGGCTCTCATTTTGCTTCTGATTACTTAATCTTTTGGTGCCTCATGTCAACCTGCCAGCCTCTATATATGACTAAATCGAATGACGGCTTACCTTTTTGAAAATATTTCTCTACAAACGTACGACTGCGTTCCTGCAGTATTCTCCCCAACGCAGGAATACGCGGAGCGATCAGTATTTGTAGTTCTCGGGTTACACACCAATAGCCCATAAGCATGGGCTAGTGAGCAACGGCATCATTCGGCCCAGATCAACTAGGGCAAGAAAAGTTCATGAAGAAAACCGGGACTTGAGATTTTAGGATCCACCAAAGGTTCACAAAGACCATCCCTTGAATTGGTTCCCCGTATTCGCCGGCGGCGTTATGTTGATGACTCTTTGTGATAGTTGAACAGGAATTTTCGGGTGTTACTACATGTCCTGAACCCTTTGTAATGGTCTAAACTTTGCATGTGAATTTGAAAGCGCAGACGGTTTTCCCAGAATCTTAGACTGCCTTGTTAGAGCCAACTGGTCAGTCCATATCCTGACTTTGTATCGTAGACCGAACAGTTCCGGACGATTCCTATGGCACTTTTCATGTAATCTTTTTTAGCTAAGATGCTATGTCACGTTGAAACCTCCGAAGCCACTAATATGACAGATATGCTGCTGCGGGACAAAGTATCTCATATTTCTCATTGATAAGGTATTCGATCACTCAAAATCAAGACGAAACGGAGTAAACAAAACCGTATTATTAACTGTTCAGACTGTCTACCGCACACAAACAGCCGGGAGAATTCCTATGGTTTTTCAGAATTTAACATATGTAGCATTAACAGACACTTGGTATACCCTAAGAGCCCTATCAACCCAGGTGACCAAACCGACTATGTGTACAAAACCTGTTGTGGGATTGATAAGTCACCTACATAGGCAGGTAACTAAAGTTCCGCACAACAGAGCACAAAAGACATGCACTACTTCCGCCCCAACATCCTCCACAATTCTAAAAGCTGTAAAGGAACCCAGCTATCGCTCCGCACACCCTGATGGGAAACCAGGCCCACCTGATTCACAAAGGCCTAATAACGCACACAGAACGATGCTGTGCGGAGACTTTGGCAACTCAGGTTAATTAAACAGACCACTCTCGTTGATCAAGCGTCTACCTGTTGAGTTCCGTCCAGCATGCAGTGGTGGAGTAGTGGTCCGCATTTCAAATCCCGGCACGGCATTGCTGATAAGCTTTAATAGAAACGAAAGTCGAATCCAGTTCTACTCCTGTTGGGCTCACCAGAATAATTGTTCCAGTGCATGAAGAGGGTTGTTCAAACGGGAATGATGTCAATGTGAATTCACGCACAATCCGCCTTCGTCAATCGAAATGACAGTCATTCCATATTCGCCGCTTGGTCAGGGCCTATAAACACTGACCAGTAGTGTGTCTAATTGATTCCAGTTGGAGATCATACACATCCAGCTGTCACACCTTGACCGATAAGACAGCTTTTTGAAAGTTGACCACACACTGGTAAGTACTAGTCAAAGCCTGTTTCTCCTGTCACTTATGATTCCGATTACTTTTCTCCCGGCGAAAGCCACTCACGTCGATCGAAACGCTGAGTTAGAAGTAGACTTTGTACTGCTTATTTTATATGGCCCCACGACTGAAGATGCGAAAGAAATATTAATATATCAACACAGCATCTGTATTCCGTCGGTTCTGATGAGCTGGATAAGTGGTTCGCAACATTTCTACTTGTCAAAGAGGTAGGGCGAGAGGATACTTAGAAAAGTATCTCGCTTGTGAGCGCTACATACGGCAACCAAACAGTTTGCACGACTGCACTTGAGTTTTTACTTGTGCAGTGCGATAGGTACTATCAGAGATTACCCAAACTCATGTGTTTTCGTGAACATCAGCACAATGCTCCACTGTTGATCATCCGAAGCCCCTCGGTTCTCAAGCGAAAGCCGTTTTTTCACGATTTGAACGTACGCTTCCAAGAAGGTAACATCACCTGTTCGAGCTAGAAGCACATCGTTGGTGTGTCTATCCAAGCACCATTGTTTGTTCAAGGTGGAGCTGTTTCTTCTTCCCATTCGATGGTACTTAAACCAGCTTTACCAACTCAGACAGAGTTTTCTGAGCTACTCGATGAGTACCGACAGGCTTCATATATTTCCCCATGATACAAACACGGCGTCCTTTAGCACTAAACTACCCTCTGGTTTACGGAACACCCACCACCCGAAAAGTCATGGCTGCTTAACTTCGACATCACTTGCTCAACTAAAAGCCCTCGGGCATTTCCGTGACAACTGTTATCCAAGAGGCAATCATAGCTAACCCAGTAGGGTCATAGTTTCTGAGCATTATGCCACTCCTCACGACCACGAGCCACCCAGAAATCTCTTTCCTCATGCACCCACTGATATTTCCAAAGCCACAATACTAACCACTCTAGACCATTGAGATTATCCGCACATTCCGGTGCTTCAATAGTCATTTCTCCGGTTGGTACTTGGCTTTTGTGTACATCGATGGTAATCCGCTTTTTGGTCGAGATACTACTAAAACACCTTTTACATTCGTCATCAATCTTTGATCGAGTTGCGCAGTATGAACTCAACATCAGTGTTTTTGTCGGACTTTATCGGTTACTGTGTTGTGGACAGTATGATGCTCTTTTCTGAGGAAGTTGCCGCGATTGCTACGGCGACGGATTAGTTCACGTCAATTTTTGGAGACTTCCAACTGCCACCGCCATTTTCTGTCCAACTGCTCATCCCTGCTGAATGCAGTCTGTGACTTTTCCAAACCGTCTTCCCCTTATTTCAGCCTTTGTCTTCAACATTTCAACATTCAATCCTAGCCCACACACATGTGCCTACAGACTGTAGTTTCCCTGATTTCTGGTGGCACTGTCCTTCATCAGACTCACCTACCTGTCTCTTTCTCATGAGTTAAAGCCAACAGTAACCCATCTACGTTCGGGCATGGGCTTATTGCCATTTACCGGATTGTCTGGATTACAACTACTTTGCCGCCTACAGGGGCATTTGATTCAACAATGGCTCTGCTGAAATTTACACTTTTTAGTTGTCTTGGTACACAGAACTAGTGGTTTGATCTTAGCAGGTCGGCGGCCTGTTTGGCCTCCCTAGTACTAATCTATGTAAGCAGAATGTTACAACCATACTATTCAGGTCGTCCCTATGGGCGTTCCGAAACCAAGCATTCAGAAGGAAACCACTTGGTCAATTATTCAACTTGGTCAGTCGCTTTCCTTCTGTTCACTTATTTGCTATAATTTACAGGCAATCTCGCGACGTGAACCTAGTTGCACATTCCGCGCCCTGAAATCTCATATTTTATTCTACCTGCTTGCGCCCAGACTTTATTTTGACCTGGAGATAGAACTCAATAGCTCGAATGTTATGCATACCTCTTCCTTGGCAGGTCATCTACTCCTTCACAACGGGAGCCGGTCATACGAGTTCTGCCACTAACAATCCCACTCACGGATTCTTCTGAAAGGGACTCGAAGGAGGACTTGGAGAATGAAGTGGTACTTTTCACGCCCGATTGGATACTGGCTTGCGGTAAACATCAAACCAGTACACCACAGGGCTCCGTACAGGTCGCAGGTATTGTTGCAGCATGTGGTCTGCCGAAGGCACTTCATCTTGGCCCTCCCGCGACAAGTGTGATACGGCTGTGGTGTACCACTTCAGGCGTGGCATTACCACCGATTCACAGGTCGGTCTAATCTGTCATTTGCTTGTCTTATACTTTGTTTCCTCCATCGGTTTCGTCATATGTTATGCAACCCAGACCCCCATCGACCAGTATCGAATCAGCCTTTCCAAACTATGTTGTTGGCAACCAGTATCTGTGATCCTCTGAACCCAGTGTATCCTGGCATTCCAGTGGCCTCCAATTCAGAAGAACAGGACACGTAGCAGTATTACACATCCAGTTTTCAGGTTTCAAAGTGGTCTCGCTTCTGTGTTACCGGGTATCCCTCAACATTTCACCCCATCTAGGAAATACTGCCTAGAGCCGAGGCAGGGACACTTTATGGTTCCTAGCTGATTTACGGTTCACAAGGAATTGTCGTTATGCACACACCCCTTACTAGTTAACCCAAGTTTTCTATCGGCCTACCACTTGGAATAGTTTGTCACAGACATAGATGATACCCTACTTCAACATATGGGTGAATGGACTTCACCTGACTCAGTCGATAGCTTATCCCTAGACACCCACTTTCGTTGGAACCTCCCACAACCGATCGAACGCAATAAAATCGAAAGTCGGATGAAGCAACGCATGGTAGCTCCAATGGTTGTCAACTATCCGTTGCTGATTAGTATTCTGGTTATGTGAAAATTCACCATCATGTGAAGTTACTTTGGTAGTTCTTGTTTGAATTTAGACAGACGTGATGACCTGGATTAAGGGGTCTGTGACTGTGAACATCAAATATCTGGAGTAGTCACTTCAAACGAAACAGAGACCTCGATTCCATCCCCGCTTAGGGGTATTTAGGAACTGTGCAGGAAGTTCGTCATGCCTTTGTTCTAAATGCGATTCTTGTTCCGATCGGTTGTTGGCTTAATCAGTCAATCAGCTGACTACTACTGAGCAGTCAGAAATGGGCCATCGTCCCCAACGCGTGACTCATTCCCGTATTCTCCTTATTCTGGTTGAGCGAGCCTTTAGCAGCTGGAACCACTTAGGCGCACAGTTTCTGAGCTAAAAAATGAACTAACTATATATATATATATGTATATATATATATATACATGAAACCCCTTTTTTCGGCGGACGAGGAGGCCTCTATTGTTCATGAAATTTAGAACTAGTGGTAAGGGAGGTTAGTTCAGCAACCTGAATAAGCAATAGCGA